GTGAGAGGAGGGCAGTGGAAGCAAAGAGGAGACATTTTCATGTGGGGAAAATGCATATTATAATTTTTCCAGTCTGGAGAATAAGATTCGGTTTAGAAAAAAAGTTGAAAAAACTCTCAATTACAGAACCGGGTGTAAGGGATGCCAATAGGGAAAAACAGTGAAACGCAGTTTGAGAGAAATGCCCATTTTACTGGTCCCAGCCTTTGGCATTATATATGAATATACATTACAGTGAATAGGGCTCAGTGAAGAATTAATACTAATATTTTTTGACTACTTACCACATGCTAGGCAGTGTTCTAAATGTTTATATTTATTAACTCATTTGATCCTCATAACAATTCCATGAGGAAAGTTGGTTATGGTCCCTGTATTAGGTTTTTAGGGCTATCATAACAGAGTATCACCAACTGGGTGGATTAAACAACAGAAATGTGTTGTCTCACAGCACAGTAGCTAGAAGTCTAAAATTAAGGTGTTAGCAGGGTTGGTTCCTCTTGAGGGACATACAGAAGACTCTCTTCTGGGACTCTCTCCAAGCTTCTGGCAGCATTAGGCAATTCTGGACTTGTAGACGGCCTTCTCCCTATGTCATACTGTTTCCCCTCTGTATGTGTCTAACTCTATGTCAGATTTCCCATTTTTATAAGGACATGAGTCGTATTGAACCAGGATCCATCTCATCTTAAACTGACCATCTATGAAGACCTTATTTCACAAGTACTGGAGGTTAGGACTTCAACATCTATTTGGGAGACACACTTCAACTCGTAACAATACCCATTTAAAGATGAAGAAATGGGGGCACAGAGAAGTCAGCCAAGTTGCCCACTATCACTGAGAAAATGTGGTGCTGGCTCCCAAACATCGTGCTATATCCTCTCTCATAAAGGAAATGTAGGTACAGAAAGGCTGGATAACAATACAGCAAAATGACTGATGGGGTATATGATCGAAAGTCTTTACCGTCTCTTGTTCTAAAGCAGAGGTGGGCATGATCCAATTCTTATAAAATTATTTTAAATTAAGATTCACCCTAACACTATCTAAAGATATGTCTGTTTGAGATTAGTTAACTGGCACTGGAGAAGAACAATTCATTTGACTACTTAATAGGCTCTTTAAGTTGAAACTCTAGAAGAAGTAAAAAAGAATGACCATCGCTTTGTTCATGCCTATTGGTTTTTTATTGAAATATCCTTTTTATGTAGTAAAATGTACATGTACTAAGTATGTAATTTGATGTATGTTGATAAATATCTGTATCTGTATGTTAACTATGGGATTGAAGTCTGAACATTATTTTGCATCCTAACTAGCAGTAGAAGTCCTCAACTAGAGAGAATTTTGAGCACCTGTCTAATTGTATTATTTCACAGAAATAATGAGAAGAAATGGTGCATAGACCATGCCTAATTTTATTTTAACGATCCAAAGGTGTTTCTTTCCTTTTTTCCTGCTTTGTTAGTTCACTCTTATCAACCATCTTAATCTTTTTACTTCTTATTGGAGTTTGTCCCTAATTGGAAATGGCCCCTTAGGAACTTGCCTTGGTACATTCAATCCAGCCTGATAAGGGTGTTTTTAGGATTATTATAACCATTTTTCCCCCAAGGATATAAAAGCAGCAGGGTTTGGAAAATTAGAGAGAAGCTTAAAGCAAGACGAGGAAAGGGAGATCTAAGAGTGGCAGCTTGTGTATAGAGAATATGGCCTCATCTGCTGCTTGCCAACTCTCTGCCGGGCACCTTTCTCCTCTCTCCGTCACAGCTTAGTACAGAGGCTGAGACACATGCCGCTGATCTTGACAGCATCCTCCTGACCTCTGAGGACAGCTTGAAGTGGTCCCTACAGATGTGGTATCAGCACTAGTGGTTGCTCACGAGTTATCCTTCAACTTTCTTGTTCTTCCCTGCATTCCTACAAGAATAATGGAATTCCAGAAAGCTGTAGTTGAGAGAAAACTCTGAGATCATGTAGAAAACCTCTGGAAGACAATTGGGCTAATTGCCCCTTAGTTTGTTTCCAATGCTGTGATTTTAGAATTCATTTTTTAAAAAATGAATTTAAAAAGTTGAGACACCTGAGAAGTAAATGGCTTGAAAAATAACATACCAATAATTAATGCAGAGTTAGGACTGCATGGCATGTGATACAAACTTTGGCACATCCATTATCAAATTCATAAGCCCTCATGCCAGTCCTCAGTATGAATCTGCATTTTTTCTACCTCACTTTTAGACTTTTGTTTCCTACTCAGACTCTGCGGTCTTTCAAACTCTTGTTAAAGTGCCCACTCACCAACTGAGGGTTCAATATGCCCCTGAGAAAGGTGGAGGTGAGTGTGTCAACACAGCACACTAGTCCTCTTCCATTGCCATGACTACTGCAATCCCAATGATATAATAGCTCACAAGACCAGATCTCACACATATCACCGCCTGACTCACCCCAAATTGCTAATGTAGGAAACAACTTCCCAGCTGATAAGTTTGCTCTTGTAACTATAAACTTGGGAACAAGAAGAGAAATTGCATTATTTTTTAAAATTTTTTTATTGATTAAGGTATTACATATGTGTCCTTATCCACCCCATTACCCCCCACCTCCCCCTTCATGCCCTCATCCCCCTGTTGTCTGTGTAAATTGCATTAATTTAAAATGAATATTTGCTTTGGATACCAAGCCAAGCACTGTGATATTTCAGATTTTCCAAGTGCTCTGTCAATCACAGAGACATGTGGAATTTGAAGTACTTTCTACTGAGGAGCAGATTGTAATCTAAAAGGCTCATACCCTTCCCCATTTCTGTTTCCTCCATCAGAACTCAGCTAGCAGCATAGAGCTCTGAAATGATGCATATCTAGTCAGTGTGCAGACAGAACTTATATTTACCAAAAGAAGAGAATACCCTGCAGTACGTGGAAGTCTCATAAACAATATGGCAGAGAGAGCAAAGGTGCACCATGAAGTAAGCCCGGGGCAGCACGGGATACAACTGAGAGGCAGCCTAATTGCCAACAGCCAGTCCTTGAGGTCAGTACCCCTTTATGGCCCAGGCCTTTTCTTCCTTCCCACAGCATCTCACATAAAGCTCTGCACCCCCAGTTCTTCCTGGTCCCTCTGTGAGCACTGCCGCCAGCTGCCGCCTTCGTAGCCAGCTCCTGCTCTGTCACGAGATTGCATCTGCAAGAGAAGGGACATCCTCCTCTCAGGTCCCTGCCAAGCTCTCAGAAGCTTTTGGTCTGGGTGCTGCCACAGAAGGATCAGGGAAGAGACAGTGCATTTAATCAGTTCTGATTTTTATCCTCTAAGTACACATAAGTGTATGGTAATGCGTAATGATTTATCCTAGCACATCTTCATCTGAACTCCAGAACGTTTTCTAAGTAATGCTCCATCAATCCTCCAAGCAGCTTTTAACATGGATAGGAAAATGAACATCTTTTCTATGACTCATAAACAATATGGATGTACTTAATAAACCTAATTTTATGGAGATTGTGATGACGGTTCCTCAGCCTCAGTCCCAGAAGTGGGTTCTCGCTGGGGCAAACATTCACTGAGTCAAAACTTGTACGTAGAAGCAGCAATGCCAATGGATCTGCTTTATACTTGGATCTGCTTTAAACATTAGCTGGGTATTGAGTAATGTATGGCTCCATAGAAATTTCCTTCCTACCCTTGCCAGTTTAACTCAGTGGGTAGAGCATCAGCCTGTGGACAGAAGGGTCCGGTTTGATTCCAGTCAAGGGCGCATTCCTCGTGGCAGGTTCCATCCCTAGCCCTGGTCCAGGAGTGTGTGTGAGGTAACCAATCGATGTTTCTGTCTCTCCTCCTACCTTCCACTCTCTTGAAAAATCAATGGAAAAATATCCTCGAGTGAGGATTAACAAGGCACCTAAAAAAAAAAAAAAAAAAAAGAAAGAGAAAAGAAAAATTTTTCCTTATATTTTAAAAGTCTTATTTTTAAAGGACAAAACCATTACATAAAATTATAAATTTAAAATATGGAAGTCACTCTTATCATCACCCCTTTCTGACTCTCTGGTAGTAATAACTTAATTTGTGTAAATGGGATAAAATGTAAAGGGCTATATATCACTGTGCATCTCATTTTTGTCACTTAGTAATACATGTTGTGGTGTTATAAAATATATATCTAAGTCATGCTTTTTAATTGCTGCATGCTTTTTTTTCTAGCCTAAAAGATTTGATTATCCTATTGATTATCCTTTATGTATTTTCCAAGCATTTTTCATACTGCAAACATTGCTATGATAAATATTTTTGTGAGCAGAATTGCTATAGTGAATATTCTTGTGACATTGTTTGCCACAAGAAAATAAATGTTATAATTTTTCTTGGAGAAGGTATGGGTATCTTCAATATAAATTTCTAAAGGAAGAATTGCTTTCGGGAGAGCGCGGGAGGCGGGGGAGAGCGGCGGCCCCCTGCGCTCCTATTCTGTGTAGCTGTGACCGGTTGAGGCAGCGCGGCAGCATAGGGACGACGACCTCGCGCGATTGGTGAGTCCATATAATCCAAGAAAATGGAAACTGAACAGCCAGAGGAAACCTTCCCCAACACGGAAACCAATGGTGAATTTGATAAACGGGAATTAACTACATTTGCAAAGTGCTTTGCAGTCATTTATATTATGATGTTATTTGAATGTTAATAATAATATTGTAGTAACAGCGACATGCTAAATGGCTGCAGTGTGGGTATGGTGTTGCAGGACCTGAAAATAAAATAGTTTTTTAAGGTGGTGCAGAATGTCCTTTTTGGGCCTGGCTATTGAGGATAATAAGCACATAACTGGTAAAGTTATTGAAATATAAATTCAGGTTGCTCACTGCAACAGTATGTTATGCTTATAGCAGATAAGTGTGTATTGGGGAAATCCTTAATTTGGAACTAAAATTTTATAACTCTCCCTCTGCAGTACCAACACTATAAAGGAAGCGACTTTGACTGCGAATTGAGACTGTTGATTCATCAGAGTCTGGCAGGAGGGATTATTGGGGTCAAAGGTGCTAAAATCAAAGAACTTCGAGAGGACACTCAGACAACAATCAAGCTTTTCCAGGAATGCTGTCCTCATTCCACTGACAGTCATTCTTATTGGAGGAAAACCTGATAGGGTTGTAGAGTGCATAAAGATCATCCTTGATCTTATATCAGAGTCGCCCATCAAAGGACGTGCACAGCCTTATGATCCCAACATTTATGATTAAACTTATGATTATGGTGGCTCTACAATGATGTTTGATGACCGCCGTGGCCGTCCTGTGGGATATCCCATGCGGGGAAGAGGTGGTTTTGACAGAATGCCTCCTGGTCGGGGTGGGCACCCCATGCCTCCATCTAGAAGAGAAAAATAAAAGGACTTTAGATATTTTGTTTGTAAAAAGAGTGGTTATCAAGTCTATTTTTCTTTGGTGTGTAATATTGCTGTTTTTGTTTTAGTCGCCTATCAAAGGACGTGCACAGCCTTATGATCCCAACTTTTATGATGAAACTTATGATTATGGTGGCTTTACAATGATGTTTGATGACCGCCGTGGCCGTCCTGTGGGATTTCCCATGCGGGGAAGAGGTGGTTTTGACAGAATGCCTCCTGGTCGGGGTGGGCGCCCCATGCCTCCATCTAGAAGAGATTATGATGATGTGAGCCCTTGGCGAGGACCTCCTCCCCCTCCTCCTGGACGAGGTGGCTGGGGTGGTAGCAGAGCTCGCCATCTTCCTCTTCCTCCACCACCACCACCTAGAGGAGGGGATCTAATGGCCTATGACAGGAGAGGAAGACCTGGAGATCATTACGATGGCATGGTTGGTTTCAGTGCCGATGAAACTTGGGACTCTGCAATAGATACATGGAGCCCCTCAGAATGGCAGATGGCTTATGAACCACAAGGTGGCTCTGGATATGATTATTCCTATGCAGGGGGTTGTGGCTCATATGGTGATCCTGTTGGACTTATTATTACAACACAAGTAACTATTCCCAAAGATTTGGCTGGATCTATAATTGGCAGAGGTGGTCAGAGGCTTAAACAAATTCGTCATGAGTTAGGAGCTTCGATCAAAATTGATGAGCCTTTAGAAGGGTCCGAAGATCGGATCATTACCATTACAGGAACACAGGACCAGATACAGAATGCACAGTATTTGCTGCAGAACAGTGTGAAGCAGTATGCAGATGTTGAAGGATTCTAATGCAAGATATTTTTTCTTTTTTATAGTGTGAAGCAGTATTCTGGAAAGTTTTTCTAAGACTAGTGAAGAACTGAAGGAGTCCTGCATCTTTTTTTTTTTATCTGCTTCTGTTTAAAAAGCCAACATTCCTCTGCTTCATAGGTGTTCTGCATTTGAGGTGTAGTGAAATCTTTGCTGTTCACCAGATGTAATGTTTTAGTTCCTTACAAACAGGGTGGGGGGGGAGGGTGTGCAAAAACTAACATTGAAATTTTGAAACAGCAGCAGAGTGAGTGAATTTTAATTTTTGTTCATTGTTGGTGGTTAGAAAATTCCCCCTATGTAATTATTGTGAACACTTTGCTTTGTGGTCACTGTAACATTTGGGGGGGGTGGGACAGGGAAGAAAAGTAATAATAGTCCATATGTCCCTGGCATCTATTCAGAGCAGTGTGCAGAATGTAATGCTCTTTTGTAAGAAACGTTTTATGATTTTTAAAATAAATTTAGTGAACCTATTTTTTGTGGTCATTTTTTTTTTTTAAGATGGTCATTTTTCAAATGGCTGAATTCCCCAACCTACCCCCAACTAAACACTAAGTTTGATTTTCAGCTCCTCTGTTGGACTTGGACTTAGGCAAAAAATAATAATCTTTGCAAATTCAGTTCTGGTGATTTCTGGATGGTTTGAATGTCCATTGCTTGGGAAGAAATTCCATCATACCCCATTCATGCTTTTAATAAGCTGGGGGTTTTGTTTTTGTAAATGCTTGCCCCTACTTTGCAACAGTTTCCTATGTTAGTAATTGTGAAGAACCAAGGTGGGGAGCAGTACTAAAAATTAAGTAATGGTATAAATGTATACCAGAAGCCTGATAGCAAGCTTTATTGATTCGGAGTAATATTTGGTTATGGAAGTGACTGGTGCTAAATAAATTCTGGTTATTTTTTATTAGATAATTTCTTTCTTTTTTTTTAAATTTTGTTTTATTGCTTAAAGTATTACAAAGAGTATTACATATGTCTCCTTTCCACTCCCGTGCCTTGACATTCCCCCGGTCTCCCCTACCCCCAAATATTAGATAATTTCTTATCAACAAATTTAAACTGTCAGCCTGCTTAGTGTCTATTAGTTAAACTTTGTAAAATATATATACTTGTTTTTCCATTGTGTAAATGCTTGCCCCTACTTTGCAACAGTTTCCTATGTTAGTAATTGTGAAGAACCAAGGTGGGGAGCAGTACTAAAAATTAAGTAATGGTATAAATGTATACCAGAAGCCTGATAGCAAGCTTTATTGATTCGGAGTAATATTTGGTTATGGAAGTGACTGGTGCTAAATAAATTCTGGTTATTTTTTATTAGATAATTTCTTTCTTTTTTTTTAAATTTTGTTTATTGCTTTAAAGTATTACAAAGAGTATTACATATGTCTCCTTTCCACTCCCGTGCCTTGACATTCCCCCGGTCTCCCCTACCCCCAAATATTAGATAATTTCTTATCAACAAATTTAAACTGTCAGCCTGCTTAGTGTCTATTAGTTAAACTTTGTAAAATATATATACTTGTTTTTCCATTGTATGCAAAATGAAAGAAAAAGATGTACCATTTCTTTGTTATACGTTGGATTATGTAGGAAATGTTTGTGAACAAGTCAAAAATAAAAAGGGAAAAAAGTTCCTGTGGATGTTTGTGTAGTATCTTGACGTTTGTATTAATAATAGTTAAGTTCACTCCCGAATAAAATTCCCATAATGCTAAAAAAAAAAAAAGAATTGCTTTCAAAGGATAATTCCATGCATTAGTTAGTTTTGTATAGCAATTTAAGACCATCATTCATTATTATTCACCCGGTGACACCCTGGCTTAGTGGTAGATGACACCCTGGGCAGTCCTGTTGGTCTTGGTGGGGCTCTCCCACATGTCTGAAAATTAACTAATTCTTGGCTGGTCTACATAACCTCAGCATTTCTCCTAGAATATTCTCCTGGGTGTGTTCTCATGACAAGACAGAGCTCAATGAGAGGAAGCGGAAACATGCAAGCATTTCTTCATGTCTCTTGTGTCAAGTTTGCTACTATCCCATTGGCCAAAGCAAGCTATGTGGCCAAGTCCAGACGCGTGGGAGCATTAGCAGAGCTGGGAAAAATTAGGATCATTTGTGCAAGCAATTTCCACACATATTTAGATTGCCAAATTGCCTTCCTACAGGACTTAACTATTTTTTTTTATGCCACTACAAACGGTTTATAAGAGGATTTTGGCAACAAAATTCAGTCTCCCAGTGTGAAAGATTAGCAGCACAGCACCTCTTACTTCCATGACCCCTGTCTCTTTCTTTTGACTTCTGCTCTTATCTTCTGGGACTATGGACTAAGTAAGTTTATTATGTTCATTGCTTTTCCTTTTGTATCGTTTTTCTTAAAGAGTTATAACATTTACATTCTTTTTTATAACTTTAATTTTTAACTTTAATTAAAGCAACTTTAATAGTCCTTTTTTTTGCCTTGGCCAGAATTAAAAAGGAATTAATGTTTACTTCATTCATCTTTTCATAAAGCAGCCTCCCCATTCCTAAGCATGCATGTTTTGAACTACATATTAGTTGGATAAAATTTTGCTATTAAGTTTGCGTTTTCTGAGATCAGATAGGATCTATCCATCCTGTTGTCTTGTTGCTTTTATACATGAATGAGCTGAGAATAAATTATTGGGTCACATGTTTCCTCTTATTTATCTAATATCTTTTGGAATTGAATGATCCTATAGAGAGCTTTGTAAATGATGACTTTCCCCCTCATTTATCCAACATTTATATTTATGGAGCTTCTACCATGTGACCGCACTATGCCAGGTACTAAGAGTATAGAAAGAAGCAACATCTAGGCAAATACCTCTGCTCCCCTGGAGCTTAAATTCTTGTGGGAGGACATCGACAATAAACAAAGTGAATAAGTAATAATTATCTACATAGTACAGATAAATAAGTAAGTATCAGTAAACCAGAAAAAGGGGTATATGGAGTACCGAGGGAGGGATATCTTTAAAAGGGGGTAGCCAGGAAATGAGTCCATGAGAAGGCGACATTTGAAGGAGATGAGTAAATAAGACTTACACATACTTGCGTCAAGAACATTCTAAGCAAGGTAAGCAACAAGTGCAAAGGTCCTGAGGTGAGTTGTGTCTGGTATATTTGAGGGAGAGCAAAGAGGCCTGTTTAACTGGAGGTGAAGAATAGAGGACTGAGGTCAGAACACTGTGGTTAAGATCAGGTTGGGCCTTGTAGGTTATTTCAGGAGTTTGGCCTGCATCAGAATGGGATGTACAGAGAGCAGCTGGGTTTGAACAGAGAAGAGACAAGGTCTGACTTATTTTTATTAGGATCATTTATTTATTTATTTTTAGTTGTCTGTGGTCTTCACCCTTTTTTTGTACCCCTTCCTTTGACATTTTTATTCTATAATTTATCTCCTCTCTGACATCTTATTCCATAGATAATTTTCTTAATTTTTTGTCATAGTGCAGAGTCTAAACTCTCTAATTTCTTGGAGTGTGTATCATTCTAGTGTTTGTTGTTTTAACAGTCTGCATTCTTTTACCCCCCATTTTTCCCTTCTCTGGCGTTTTTTGCATTATTGATGAGCCTTTTGTTTTCAGGCTTTTCATTTTTGAAAGGGGACAGTGGTGTCTGGGCCTTCTCACTGCTCAAATAGCCTGTGTATATTCTATTTTGCACCTTTCTGTATTTTCATCAAGCTCTGATCTGGCAACAGATTAGGCAAGAATTGTTAGAGGACATTGCAAGTTTGTAAAACACTGAGATGAAACAATGAAATAAAAAGCCTTCAGGCAGCATTAGAAAAGCTTTTGTTAATGTTTACCTGGCCTCCGATCTAGTCCGGAGTACATGTGAGACGCGCAGTAGGTAGTTATTCAATGATAAAATGGCTCTGAGTCTTACACTGGAGAAGGTCGTTAGGAATGAATGGTCGTTAAGAGAGGAGGTAAAATTAAAAGAAGAATGAAAATAATTCAAATGAAAAATGGGGTCTGTGCTTTAGTTGAATTCATATGGAAATTCTTGTACATAGCCTTAAAAAATGCCGTGACATTTTCAAATGCTCAAGACTCCTGATTACTTTTATGGACATGAATGGCTGCAACGTTTGTCACCCTATTGATCATCAGGATTCATTTGGTTGATTTCGCTGGATAGTCTCTTTTCCCTCTCATTGATCTAAATATCTTCTGGAAGCTGGATTCACAGATGAAAAATGTGTCTATCAAACAGGAAAGGTAATATCTTCTGGAAGCTGGATTCACAGATGAAAAATGTATCTTTATCAGACAGGAAGGGCCCCTCTCAGGATCATTCAGTGCCCCTGAGGACTCTAAGGGCACAGGTATGGAGACCGCAGAAACACAGTGACTGGGAAAATTTGGAGCTTGGATTGGTCCAGTCTGCATCAGCTTCTTACATTGTTTTATTTCCCCACTCTTCGCTGCTTTTCTAAAATTGTCAGTTTCCTGGATGACCCAGAGACCATCTCAGTATTTCCTAGTTCTCATTAAATGTTTCAAACAAACACTTGGCTATCAATCTACACTAATACTGAGTTGCAATCCAAGGAAAACCTGGGTTCTCCTGGTTTATAATGTTATTGTTGACAGGACTGTGAATATGTAAGTTCAAGACAGATGCGACCCTTTTCCTAGTATCTGTAAGTGCTCGTTATGGGGAAGGTAAGACATTTGCTTGGAAGTGGGAAGGGAAACCTGTATGCTGCTGAATTAAGCTGGAAAACCAGTGGTAATTATAATCCTGTTTGTTTTTTGTCTTCTGAAATGTCAAAATGCATGAACATTTTAGCTAATGTGCTATAAAATACATTTAGATAATGTATTTTACTTTGTCTAAAATATAAAAAAGGGCTGGAGGAACCTTGTGGTGAAATGAATGGCTGGGATGTGAGTGAGAGAATTGTGCTGAGGTTGTTGGCTGGGCGCTGGGAGGGTGCAGAAAGCTAACATTTACCTAGCACTTCTCTAGTGCAGGCTCCGTGCAGGTGCTTTAAGTAGAGTATAGTATTTAATACATAGAATGACTCTGCTAAGTTTTTTTTTTTTTTAATTTAACATTTTAGAAGGTAGAGCCAAATGAAATGGCCATTTTTTGTGGGTAAAAAAATGACTGTATCTTGGCAATTTCAAATGGTTCAACCTAATATTTTCTTTTTATGGAGTGAAAAAGCTGGTATGTAGAGATATGAAGTAATTTTCCCAAATCATGCAGTTTCAAACTCAGGTTTTATGACTCTCAAATCCATTCTTATTTTACTGTACTGGGCTCCCTTCCAAAGAGGCTGTGTCGTTACTTCTCTGTTAATGGTAGAGAAACCATTTAATACATCTGCATCATGGTTTCCATACCCCAGTGATCTATTAATACCACCCACCTACTTGGTAGAACTGTAATTAGGATCAGATGCACCTCTATGTAAAACTATTTGGGGAAT